AAAAATTATCTCGATTTTCGGAATCACCAGGGAATTCTACATGGGAATTGGATAGTGGCATCCATAGAACATTTTTGCTTTTCCATCGCTTCTTGTGTATGGGAAAAGGTTTCACATTCAAAAAGATTTTGAAATTTATAATTTTTGTGAGAAGAAATTAAAAATATTTAACATTTTTGAGACCAAATAATTTAAAAAAATCTAATCAGCTGCGTTACTGGTACTACCTGTTCAATGTGCCTTAAATGAAACTAAAATAAAAAATATGTATACAGTCAATGAAGTTTAGGTACAGCGAATTTTTTACAATACGGCCAACTTTTTTCTAAATATTTTATTTTTCGCTAATTTTCGCTAAATGGTAAGTTCTAGCTACCTCAAAGTTGCACTTTATTATACTAAAATTGAATGGGCTATAAAACTGCATACTAAACTTTTTTGCTAGAGAGCATAAATAAAAAGTACAATATTTGAGTGAAATTTTCCAGAATTTCCTTTAATTTTGCACAAGGTTTGGAACTCTAATTTTTCAGGTTTTTGTTGTAGAATGAACCATATTTTTATAAAAAATTTGCGAAAAATAAAATATTTACAAAATAGTTGCCGGTATTGTAAAAAATTCGCTGTACCTAAACTTTATTGACTGACGGTATACATATCTTTCTTTAAAAAAAAGGCTTTTTTACCGTAAAATTGACAAACGAGCTTTTTTTTTTATAAAAGTATAAACAGAATCCATTCGCTGAGTGAACCAAAGCAACGACGAAGTTCATCTGACGAAGTTCGAAGAGAATAGATTTCTTTTTTTTTAATTTTGCCGTTGCCGCCGGTCCCAAAGTCAGCTTTTAGTGAAGAAATATAATTATTTCAAACTACATATATGTATGTACATATGTATATTCGTGTGTATGTACAAACATATGTAAGATATACTCGTACATATGTATGTACCAGGGTGGTTGCGAATATTCGCATTCGCTTTCGCATTCGCAATAATCAATGCGGAGCTTTTGCGAATGCGAATATTTTGCAAGTGGACCGATAAAACGCATATATGGCAAAAAAAAAAAAATATACATATTGTAGCCAATATTTTTTCCTGTGGTCGTAGGAGTATTTGTGTAACAAAACTGGTCAAATGTTATCAACTTTGATAGAAATATCTTTAAAATATTATTTTTTAAGCTATATCACCAAGCTATCAATGGGCAGCCATAAAAGTTTCCACTTCTACTTGACCTTTGACGTACATACGTCAAAGAGAACATAGTCCTTTTAATAATATTTTTTTTTGTGCTTTAAATACCTGCTTTGGCTTCTTTCTTTATTATGATTTTTTTCGACCAATCTTAAAAAAAACTACTAGACACAAAAGAAGAAAGTGTGCACTGTAAGTCTTAACAAAATTTTCGTGATTTGCTTTTGATGTTATGGGCGGCATACACGGTGCGTCTGACTCGTGAGTCGGTTTGGATGTGTTTGTGAAAATAAATATGTGTTAGTTACACCAACATGACTCCCGGCATGACTCTGAATGATTCAACTGTGTGTAGTCGAACGTGAGTCAACACGTACACAAATGATTCGCGAGTCAGACGCATCGTGTATGCCGCCTATTACATATATTCGTTCGATTAATTTCAAATGGGGCTCTTTGGGGAATTTATTTTTAGCAAAAATTTTAAAAACAGTAGTTTTGTTTACTTGTTGGATAATATTTTTTGCATAGGAATATACATTGGAACCTTGGCTAAAAACTTCTGTGGTAAAACTGTCACTTCTTTGCTATTTAAAGTCAATGAGTAAGCTCCTTCAATAGGGATTTCCAGTAGAAATGATCAACAATTAGCTATAAAGAGAACCAATGCTCAAATAATTAAAAAACTATAGGTCTGACCTTTAATAAAATAAGAATTACGTAACTATCTGTTATTCAATGGCTTATAAAAAACGGGGTGCTTAAAAAAAAAACAATATTCAGATCCTATTCGGCTGGCAGCCACGACTTTGAAAACAGAATTTTGTTCAAAAATAACAATTTATTTTCCATATCCACCTATTTAGCTCGCTATAAGCATACATTTTTCAAAGCAGTCGCAGAAGAAAGTATTAAAAATGAATTACAAAAACTAAAATCGAAAAGTGCTGATAAAGTTACAGGTTCTCCAAATTCTGAAATAACATGACATATGTGACTGGTTTGGCTTGTAAGCGCTGTTTAAACAACGATCTCGCCATTATGCTAGAATCTAATTGTTTTTTTTTTTTTTAAATACTTGACATACGCAATCGCATCCGCATCCGCGGATGTCTAAAATTCCATTTCCGCAACATCGCTAGTATGTACATACACTGGCGATCAAAACCGAATGCATGTTCGACATTTTATTACTTACAGTAACATAACATTTTTAAAAATAAGCGGATTGCTTTGAAATTTTCAGCAATTGGTCCTTATTATCTAAAGAATAAATCCTAGTATACAGCAAAAACTAAACTTAAAAAAGAAACAAGTCTGCTTGAGCAAAATTTTCACGTAAGTGGCCAGCACAAATCCCAGACCTCAACGTCATCGAAAAATTGAGCGCACAACATAGCACAAGCGAGCACCTAGTAACATGGAAGAGCTTTGGAGGCGAGTAAAATTATAATGGGGTAATATTCCATGAGAAATCATAGAAAACTCAGTGGAGGGCATTCCCAGACGTATGAATATCGCTATTAAAAACAAGGGAGTGTCCACAATCCTCTCGATATCAACCTCTTAACATCTGAAAACAGAAAAGTTCAAAACTGAGTGAATAGAGTTGCCTTGCGTAGCGCAGTGCGTAAGCAACTGGCTGAGTCAGTGGGGTCGTCGGTTCGAATCCTGCTGAAAGAAGTCTGATGAGGAAATGTGGTGATTTCCCAAATAGCTATCACTTCTACAATTTTTTCAAATTATTGTCGCTTTTCCACAATAAGTTTTCATTAAAAAACGGCCTCAAGCTCAATAAAAATTAATTTTTAAAAATTTGTAAGTTTAGTTTTTGCTGTATACTAGGATTTATTCCTTAGATATAAAGGACAAATTTCTAAAAATTTCAAAGCAATCCGCTTAGTTTTAAACAAGTTATGTTACTGTAAGTAATAAAAGGTCGTACATGCACTCGGTTTTGATCGCCAGTGTACATATGTATGAAAGCGGAAAATCATCTTTGATTCTTTGAGCTTGTCTATCCCAAATATTAGAAAAGTTATGTTTACATATCGTCCATGATTCAATAACACTCTAAAGACTGGTTTTCACTATGTCATATTTTGACGCCAATATTTGGCGACTTATTTTGACACAACTTTATCTCTTTATCCATACCTTTACCGATGATATTATGGGCCAAAAACAGACAGATAGCCGATTTAGCAGCGCATGTACAGGAATAAAGACCTATCCTGATCAAAACCAATCGATAAACTGCTTTTTAATCCAATTTGACAATGTGTTTTCACTTATTTGACGACAAATGCCACTGAATTTGACATAGTGAAAATCAGCCTTAAGGAAAATTTCAAGTTTTGACATTACACAAAAAAAGGCCGAAACACGTGAACTTAATTTTGGGTCGTAGATTACGGAACTGTATATCGTTTTGCTAGATCTGCTCATTTTCGTAAAATATGTTCGTTTTAAGTTTGCATTGTGAATGAAAAAATGCATACTCCATAGGGAAAAAATTTAAAAAAAAAATATTATTTCTTTTTTATGAAATATGACTATGTAGTAGTGTCCGACCGAAGGTTCGGCCTGGCTTCGGTATTCGGCTTATTCGGCTGATTTTTAGATTTTCCTCTTAGAGTTGCATGCAATAATGCTTGCTAATGACCTGCAGCCATCATCATACCTATTATTTATTTTTGAAACTTAATTTTAATATTCGGCTTCGGCCAAAATTCCAACTTCGGTCGGAGACTACTATGTAGGAAAGAATGTTACTCATACGCCAAGTACTACATGTAATCTAATAATGAAATCATAAATTTTCTTCGTTGATAGCTTGATGTTTTTGCCAAAGAACAGGCTTTAATCAAAAAAATTTGCAACAAAATTTTTATTTTTAGATTTTTCCCTGTTAAAGTTTGCATTTTTTTTTTATTCTCAACGCAAATTTAAAATGAAAATATTTTGCGAAAATGACCTGATCTATAAAACCATATACAGGGCCGTAATCTACGACCCAAAATTAAGTTTACGTGTTTCTGCGTTTTCTTGTGTCATTTTAGCATCCCTTCAGTGTTATTAAAGGTTTGCTCACTACTGACATTCGAGTTTTGACACTTCCTTACAAAAGGTTGCACACACACACACACCCACATGTAGTGCCTTGCTAAGGGAGCCGATTTTATCAAGAGGCAGCGAGAAAGCTGTTTTCTGAGCAAACCTTTTATTATTGAATCACAAACATACATATCGTCCGCCTTATGCCAGAAGCACGAATGTGCAAATTTACCAATTTCGAGTTATTGGGTTGTCTTGATTATCCTTTGGATGTTCTATGTTATAGCAAAACTCAGAATACCATGTATATATCGAGCCCTAACCGCCAAAATAACGTAAGCGCCATTTTTTTCAAAATCTTCTTTTTGATGCAGAAATATTCCTAGAGAATCTAGATGCATTTCTGCATCAAAAAGAAAATTTTGATAATAATGTCGCCTACGTTAATTTGGCGGTTAGGGCTCGACAGCTTGATTTCCCAAAATTTTAATTTTTACACTTTCATGTTTCAGACATGAGGCGAACGATATATTATAATTAGTTAAGCCATTTTATAAGAGAAGGAAAAATAATGTCTGTATGGATATTTAATTTGGAAATTGAATATTAATACATAAATACATACATACGTATGTATATGTATATACGAGTATCTAATTTACAATGTGCTTTTGGGAAGGTGCCGGAATAAGGAATGGCTGTGTTCTAGTATTATTTATTATAAAAAAGTTTAGTTATGACTTACCGGAATCCTTATTCTTCAAACCTAAGCCAGCTATTTATTAAAAAGTATTTTGAAAAAAAAATAAAAAAATGGAAGAAGCTCGAATTAATACATATTGTATAAATAAATTTACAAGCACAGATTTACAGTGAGTGAGATGTGTATGTTAAAACTAAGCAATTACCGAATTAAAAAATTGAAGTGGAAAAGACTGTAAGACAGTTCTGTGATAACGATGAATGAAATTATTTACATGGTACATAAGAATATTTAAAGTGTATTTAGTGTGTTCTTTTAGTTATTCCAATTTCAACTTTATGTCTTTTCGCGTAAAATTTTTTGCCATCACCCATATTTTATGTGTATGTATTTACAAATACTGTGCATATGTATGTATGTATGTATATCAACTTACATATGTATATGCATATCGCACACTAAATTCAAAAGTCACAACTCTAAAATCATACGAGTTTCAGGAGATCCAAAAAACACTGCTTGGACAGAAAAGATTATGATAGTAGTATTACATGAAACTTAAGTTTTACTTCGAAGAATAGCCATTTAGGTCATACATATATACATACGTAGCTTAAATGTATGTACATATATATTGAAAAATTTTGAGTTGTGATCCTTTTGTATTTAGTTTGCAAAGATATATAATATGTATATGTATGTATGTATTCATCTGTATGTGTGTGTATGTATGCTGTGCACGTGGACGAGAACAATTTCCATAGTTTGCAATTAGTGCCTTTTTTACAATTCAATAGTAGTAGTATCTCCAACTTACCCGTATTGAAGTCCAAACCTTGGGTGTCGACCAAGTATTGCAAAATGTCGCCTTGTTCTTCGAGATTTTCCGTCTCACGCAGCATTGCAATCAGTTCCTCCACTTCTGTATCAGCGAAATTTGTATCCGTGCGATGGCGTTGAACGAGAATTTTCGGTATAGCTTGTACTGATGAATGTACCAGGATTAAAACGGCAAATCATAACGCAAAAGCGCAATAATAAATCAATAGTAAACAAAAAAAAAAAATTAAAAATCAAATCGAAAATTTATATAAAATTATTACACATTTGACTAAATATCTATCAACTCCGAAGAAGCAATAACTTTTTATTAAACCTCCAATACTCCAGTCTCATTTTCCATTTCGATTACAATTGGACTAATTTACAGTTATTGCTTTCTTCACAGTTTTCTACAACTAATTGAACTAAACACACTACTAACTTTCTTGCTGTCTTGTAAACTCACTGCGACGTTCAATAGCCGAGCGATTATGATGTGGATCAATGGGGTAGATATTTTCGCGAATCAGCGGATCTATTACCAAATTAGGAGGCCCTTCCTCCGGTGTTGTGTCAAATACACTGATATTGTTTGCTTTATTTGATTGCAGCCATGGCGGTGGCACCACCGAAGAAAGTCGCCTTTCTATTAATGGTGTTGGCCCTTCCATACCCAGGTTGTCAGCTATTAAAATATACATACATACGCACATGCATACACGTATCAAATGATAGTTATTAAGTGTGTGGGGGTTAGCTATACATAACGTTATCTTAATATAGAAAGGCCCTAATTAACGTTTTCTTTTTTTACAGAGCGAATAAAAAACTAAGGCAAAACTTAAGTTCTTTAGTTGTGAATGTCTTTAAAACGCAGTTTTTTAGAGCATAGATTGCTAATTTAATGTTGGTGTAATTATCTTCAAATTATATATAAAGTTTCAAGCAGGGATGGAAAATAATCATAATATCTTAAATTTTAACCAAAAAAAAATCAACAATTTGTAATCGTTGTAAAACATTTTTAACTGTACTCACGTAGTTGTGTCCGTACGTCCTACTGCCAATTTTCTATGATTTTTATTTTTTCGAGTTTAACAAATAAACATTAACAAGCAATTTTTAAGCAAAAAACAAAACCGACTTCAATTCTCATACAAAAATTTTAGATTACCGTTAATTTCTTCATGATCCAATTATTAGATCTCAAATCCAAATTAGTAGATAAGGGGCCACCATACATAAAGGAAAAAAAAATATTCTGACAAATTGATAACGGTCTCCGTTTTTGCAGTCGGTTAAAAATAATAATTAATGTTTGAGTTATATTTTTTCGCTCAAAGGAAATTAACCGCCCCAGGTTTTAAGTGATTCATTTATAGTCTTTTGTACAAAGCTGAGTTCGAAAACGAAAATGAGTTAGGGCCTTAAGGTAACGATATGTATTTGCAAATCTAGTCACTTAATACTTACAATCGACATTTATCGAACGCGTCTTTTTAATGGCACCCTTGCAAGACATGCGCCTACGTAACTGGCGCGGTCGTAGGTGGCCACCGTGTAGCTTCATCATACCGCGATGACTGAATGAGCGCAACAAATGTTCGTCCAAATAGGCCTGGACATCGGGATGTAGGCGATCGGGGTAGCCATCTTCGGTGCTGCCCAAAAAACTCAGGTCTGTGATAGCTGACGTATTCAGGAAATCTTTGAGATTACTCAACATTACACGCGTGCCGTTAATATAGCCGGACTTGAGCTTACGCATTGTCTGAATCATGGCCAGAGGTATTTTATCTTGGTCTACATATGTATGTGAAACATTGCAATCATATTAGAATTTTCAAGTTAATTACATATGTATCAACATCAAAGCGTTGGACAATGAAACAAAATTAGACAAATGTTAAATCAAAGTTGTTTCCTTTATAATACAATATTAGTATTTATTAGACAAGCATCTACATATATAATTATGTATGTGTTTGTGTATGATATCTATGTACGTACATGTGAAACAAATTTGCAAATAATATCGAATAGTGCGAAGTTTAAGATTTTCGTTGAATTTAATTTTTGTTTGAATTGTCTACGTTAAGTTCTTTCTTAAGACTTTCGATCTCACTAGCTTGGTATTAGGGTGTTCGAAAATTCGAGTTCACCTACACACATAATATTTTATTCATAGATATCTAGTTACGTAGTTCTATTATTTACATATGTACACATTATTGATACACCGATTTAGTAACAAAAGGGAAGTTATAATTGGAGCGGATACGCAAAACAAGGGGTATGCTTTGTAATAATAATATAAGCAATTTTGTTAAAAATCTTGCACCAAATTTCAACTTCATTTAAGAGTCAAATTACATAAGAAAACAGGTAAAGGCTCAGTTAGTCTAGACTTAATCTACGTAACGCAACCTAATATATTGGCCAACGCGATATATTTTTGCGCTCAGGTTTATTTATAGACGGTAAAGTGAAACTCAGCTGAAAAGGAAAATACAAAAATAAAAAATATTTTCGCTTCTGGCTAAGTTGACGTTGAGTTATCATTGACGAATTCTTACGTAAATTAAGTCTAGACTAACTGAACCTTAAGTGCTGCCTTTGGCTATGTGATACGTTTCATAAATTGTAACTTTAATCGAATACTTATTACATTTTTTGCTTAAAAATATTAAATTTTAAAGTATTCAATCAGTGATAAAGCGATACATTTTATGGAGCCCCGCACTTGATGATTTTGTCAGTAGACCTTGTATGGCTGATAAGTAAATATGTAGCTCACACAATTTCACGGTTTAAATGTCTAAATAAAGGATTTTCAAAGCAAAACATCATATCTGAACAATCAGTTATAAGTTATAGTAACACGATCTTAACTATTTTAAGTGTACGCTTTCTATTCATAAATGTGAAAATAAATCAACATTTCATCTTCTTAGCAGCCTCATGGTGGGAGTTTATGACATCATTACTGAAATATCAGCGGGATGCCCCTAAATCGACTCAGCTCCTCCTTCTGAGCCAATTGGAATATCTTTTTATGGGTCTATCTCTTCTTCTTCCTTGAGTTTTGACAATTTCTTCGTTGAAAGCATTGCTCATTTTCTTCCATACATATAAAATAGGCTCGAATTTGTTTTTACAAAATTGTCAACATCTTAGTCTTAGCTACTTCAAAAAATAAATTTTTCTTGTGCGTTATATGGAAGAAAAAGTGCGACACAGTTGCAGAAAAAAATTATCAAAAATTAACGGAAAATTTTAGCCACTTGCAAATGGATGGGCTATAAAACTGCATACCCGAAAAGTTTCTAAACATTCTTATTAAAAAGTTTGAAAATTTAATGGCAAATTTATTGAATTTTCGTGAATTTTATATAAAGTGTGAAAATTTGATTTATCTGGTTTATGCAGATTCATGTTAAAAATGAACTATGTAAGTAATTTTTAAGCAAAAAACAAAACCGACTTCAATTCTCATATACAAATTTAGGATTACGGTTAATTTCTTCATGATCCAATGATCAGATCTAAAGCTAAAATTTATTATTAGCATTAGTAGAATTATCGAAATCGGTTAACGTGGTCCAAAGATATGCGGTAAAATACAAAAAAAAAATAAATTCCACGAACTGATAACCTGTAAATGGAAACAATATGGAAATTCATCTAACAGACCTATTCTGCTTGTAATCGACAATTTTGTAGCAAGCTAATTTTGTTACCAACAATCACCACTTGCAACCGTAATTCTATTTACCTTGGTAACGTTTTAATTTATTCTGCAATTCAGCTATGAAGTTTTGCAAAAATTCTGGTGTTGCATATTTCATGGGGCAATATTTTGTTACCTGCTCATGAGATGGTAACAAAATTTGCCGGTTACAAGAGTGTGGAGAATGCGAAAAGGGTTTAAAAATTGACAGTAACTTTATTTACCGGTAAAAAAATTTTTGTTACCAAAGCAGAATAGGCCTGTAAATGTGTAAATGCCTCGTAACCACGTAAACTGCCTAAATTTGCTTAATTTTGTATGGAAACCCGGTTTATTTACAAGGTATGCACAGTTACGTGACATTTACGCTTTTAGATAAATACTCTGGATATTTTATAAAAAAATATTCTAATATTATATTATAGTAAAGTGTAACTTTTGACTGTACATACAACAAGAATAATTGAAGTATTTACGTTAGTGAGGTCAAGATCTTGGAAAATAAATTTGTACATGCCTTTACATGTTGATTATTTGACAAGTCGATTTTTTCATACGCAAAATGTTTGCTTGCACCATTACACACTGGTCTGCGGGTTAGGTCCAAAAAGAAAAAATATTAACAACACTGTAGGGAAAATCTCAAGTTTTTAAAATGACACAAAAACGCCGAAACACGTAAACTTAATTGGGTCGTAGACTGTGGATCTGCATCCATATTAGGTAATTTCCCCAAGATATTTTAATTTTTGTAAAAACATTCAAACCTTAACAAGGAAAAATTTAAAAAGATAACAAATCTATTGTAATTTAATTTTTTCATTTATATTAAAGTGTGTTCTTTCGCCAAAAAGTTAAGCCATTGACGATGAAAACCAATGGATAAATAAACAAATTGTGAATGGTCAAATGCGCAAATAATTTTTTGTATGAAATACATATATGTAAGCAAGAAAGAATGTTACTCATACGCCATGTACACGGTCATACTCGATCTTGGCGTATGAGTGATGTGACCAACTATTTCATAGCTCAAAGAAGTACAGCTTAGGTTAGGTAAATTCTCTAATCGAATTTTAATGTTGATCTCTAATGGGACTCGAATTTGAATTTCAAACTGCTATTTGCTTTATTAAATAAAATTTTTATTAAATGTATTTGCAATATAATAATAATGAATTATTTGAACTTAAAAAAATTATGATTCATTCATTTGGAATATTGCTTATTTACACTTATTTGAATTTGCGTTGTTTCTCTAATCGTTCTCGAATCGAATTCTAATGTAGTTCTCTAACTTCGTCATCGACTCGAGGACGATTAGAGAAATACCATAGTTATCTAATGTAGAAATCCAAATTTCTCTAACGTTAAAGACTGTGTTTGCTGGGAAGCATATATAAAGCCCTTGACTGACAGTCACGAGGAATCGCGTTTCTTATGTACAGGTAAAGGTCTCTCTAGCGTTTTTATCAAACCCGAAGAGACTGATAGGCCTAAAATCCCTAGGCTAAACATGAGAGCCTTTTCCGGCCTTCGGGATGAACGCAACACTGACTACCCCTCAAGCCATGGGGATGTACCCGGTCCTCACGCTGTTCGCATAAATAGGATCCAACCAATTGCACGTCACCTTCAGAGCCCTTTGCAGCTGCGCAGGTATGATGCCATTGGTCCCCGACGACTTTAATGGTTTAAACAGGACATGGGGGAAGTTCTGTAATCAGTTAGCGACAATTTTCGAATCCCTATCGCACTCTTTGACGCAAAAGCATATATATGATGCGTAAAAAAGTGCGATAGCGATCCGAAAGTTGTCGCTAACTGGTTATAGAATTTCCCACCAGAAGTACAAAATATCGAAAAGAAGTACATTCGAAGTACGAAGTACAAGAGCGAAAAAAGAAGTACTGTACTTCCGAAAGAAGTACGGTTGGTCACATTACTCATGTATGTATATGCATTTTTATAACGGGTCTCCTCGAACAATTCACTGTAAGCTTATATCGTTTTATATCAACGACTGATAAATGCATACTACTTCTGTGCATTAAAAAATGTATGTAGCAAAAAAAGTATTTTTACGGCCATATTTTAATTATCTAACCTCTGCAAGGCTATTCTTTGTCAATGCTATTCGTATCTGGAATTCTATCCCTACCTCTATTCGAAGTGGGTCAAATAAAAGAACGCCATTTATCTGTACTTTCTCAGAACTAAATATTTACATATGTATATTTTACTTTTTTAATTTTTGAATCTGGGTTTTGCTTTCATTTAGTCATCTGTGGTGATCTCTGCTACATATATGTGATATACATTTTATTTTTAGTTGTTTTGTACTAGAAAATATCTATGATCTTATTGTACTAGTGTCTTTCTCTTAATAAATGAAATGAAATGCTATACAGTATTTTAGAAAAACCGCGGTCTTATTTTTTTTTATCCAAAATTAGTATAGATACGAACGTTATTCATAAACTGTATACAGATCCGTAATCTACGACCCAAAAATAAGTTTAAGTGTCTCGAAGTTTTTTTGTGTCATTTTAGCGTCCCTCCAGCTAGCTTGAGTTAAGAGCGAATTTCACCTAATTTCTCAATTAATTGAAAACAATTTTTTACCACTGCGATATATAAGTTAAAAAAAAAATTATTTACTTTTAATATGCCCACGTGTAAATAGTTTCTGAAAGAATGCATGAATAAGTTATTATTTATAAGCTATTTACAAATCGCCATCATCAAAGCAAAGGGTCCTAAATGAATAAATTCTCATTTTACAGCGAAATATTTCAAAAGGCATTTCCTAAAAAAAAAAAGAAAAAATATCAATTCAAAGGTGACACAACTCAAAATTACACGTTTGTCAGAAAATGCGAAAAACTATTTTTTAACACATGCTAATCATATCCTTGCAAATATGACTTTACCTAAGATTTTTACAACAAATTGCAATAAAAATTTGCTCCAGCTTTTACTAAAAGGTAAATAAAAGCTCAGTTTACATTTTTAGCGCATAATTTCGGAAATGACAAATTTTGAGCTGTGTCACTTTTGAAGAAAGCATGCATGGGTGAATAGTTTTCGCAAGCAAGAGTTAAAAAAAAAATATTAGAAAAATACATTTGCTACTGGGTAAAAATGGTCGGATTATCAATTTTCTAAAACACATTCGAAAAAATCATTTTTTTTTTTTTAATAAATTTAGCCTTCGTAAGCTCCAAAGCTGATATATACATATATGGGTTTACGTGCAGCAATATATACGCAAATTGACTATTGAAAAGTGCATACATAAATATTTATAAGATGATTGCCTATATGTTTGTACCAAAAAGAGATTATGTAGTTACCTAGCATGTAATGTGTGGCCATTAGAGTTATGGTCGGTCTTCCTAACATGTGCCGCCAATTGTTTGTTAAAAAAGCTAAATTTGTTGTGAAATTGCTAGCAAGCAAGTCGGGATCACGAGTGGTGTAGTATTCTTCATAGTCGATATTCTGCGACCAAGTTCATTCCAAATTTGATTTCATAACATTAGTTGATGAGAGATGGAGCATATTAATTTTAAATGTACATACAAATGAATGCATTGTGAAAAGGTTTTTTCTTTGGAAAATCATAAAGCTAGAGCGGCTAAAATGCTACTATTTAACAGATTTTCTCCCATATGGTGGGAATCAAAATCTTGGGAATACATATTCCTGAACAGATTTACATTAGATATTTACAATAATAAGATTTCGAAACATATGTACATACATATATGTGCCTGTAGATATACAATGTACTTCTATATTGCTAGTAGAATATGATCACAATCCCTATAGCTAGCGTCGTAAAATATGCAAGAGTTTTCTTAAAGCTAATATTTTCAGAATGGGTTGCATTTCAAAATAATACGTTCGTCAGAAAATGCAAAAAACTATTTCGTAGCACATGCTAATCATATGCGCAAAGGCGACTTTACCTTAGGTTTTTTTTTTAGCAAATTATAACAAAAATTTGCTCCAGCTTTTGCTGAAAGGTCAATAAAAGCTCTGTGTACATTTTTAGCGTATAATTTCAAAAATGCCAAATTTTGAGTTGTGACTCTTTTGAAGACGGTGTGCGATATGTTACAATTTTTTGATTCGGGTCACGCGTTTGGACACGATAACCCAAAATCATTTCACAAATAACCGAACCGTCCTCGAATTGTCTTTTACTAGGCATTTTTCTATAAATAAAAATTTTAGAAAACGAAACTGCAGTACTTTTCATCTTATGTGCATGCATATATATATATTTTTTAGCAGCGCCACATCTTTATCAAAAAATTCCGCGAATCCAAAAAGTTACAAGTTGCAGGGCAACATTATAACTCAACTTCCTCTCTCTTCCACGGAGATAACGGTACCTCGTTTAGAGGTTTAAAAAGATTTTGCGTTAGAAATTTGTCATCAAACTGTATTAGCAAAAAACTTTATTTTCGAACCTGCATCAAAAAGAAAATTTTGAAAAAAAATGTCGCTTACGTTATTTTGGCGGTTAGGGCTCGATATGATATCGAACGTCATTTTGAAACGGTGGCCATGCTTATTGAGAAATTACATCGATAATTTTGAAAAACCCTAAAAACTAAGTTCACCAAATCTTTAAGACTTGTAAAAAAGTAGTGTTCCAAATTATGTGTATAACACTGAATGGAACATGCGTGTACTAACAATATAGAAGTACTACATATGTAAATGTTTCCAATTTAGCACCACTAATTAAACTTCAACTTTGAAAAAAAAATAAAGAGAGAAATGCTTGATATCGTTGTTTAAAGTACAAAACCGCGTATCGTCATTCTGCAAAACCGCGTAACTGACATTTACTGCCAAAAACTGGATTTGTTTACACAAGCTCTTGGCTCAATCCTTATACATTCGTTCTGAAATATACTAGCCAGAAATGCGATTGCTTTATAAAAAAGACAACCATTTTGAAAAGTGGGTGTTTTTACTCTCTAGAAAGTAATTTATGCAACCTCACATACGTTTACAAAGGCACACTCTTTTACTCGTATCCTTGTTATGGCATATTTAAGCATAAATTATGCCTTTTGGTGTAATATGGAAATAAGCGCATTAGCTGTGTTTTCTTGGGCAATGATCGGGATCCGGGTACAAATTGTGTCAACCCTAATAAGATAGATACAGATCGTTTTTGTGAGAAATGATCGCGACATTGAGCTGGATGAGCCAAGAAAACGTGACTATTAAATTCATATGTATGTTATTATATGCTATATTAAAACTGAATAAATTCTACTGTTTCAAAACGTATGAAGAAAACTATGTATAATTGTTTATGTAAAAGCAAGACTGTTAAAACTGGTGCTTAGTATAGTCGTTTTGTTTATAGTTTATAGTATAGCATTAACACAATAATGATTTGAAAATGTCAAAACCCAAGTCCAAATTTTTAAATGTCATTTACAAAATTTTTTTTAGATGTATCTTGCTTTTACGTGTATGTATTTAAAAAATCTACGCGAGTGTGTTCTAGCAAAACTTAAAGATGTTAATGCATCCCTACTCATGGTGACAATAGTGTGGCAATTCAGTATAAGTACAGATGTAAGTTCAGAAAAGTAGAGTATAAACAAATATGTAAGTGATACATAAAAGAACAACTGTATAAAACGTTTCAAAGAAAATAATCAAATAAGTATTTAACCGACCTAAGTGAATTTTTCTCAAAACTAGAGTCACTAACGGACGACCCAGCAGATCCCAAGCTGACTTTAGGAAATTTATCTCTCCTTTCAGGATGTCAATCATTAATTCATTATCAGATGCGATATAAAAACGACTCAAGTCAACAAACTAACGTAAATAATAACGTACATAATGTTAATATACAGTACTTTTTTTTATATAGAAAGAATCGTCATTTTCATTCATTTTGGAACAGCGAGTAAATGGCCAAGTTTAATCAAATGACGATTCATATTTAAAATTTTGTATGGATGCATAAAACAAAGCAAGAACATTCGACTTACTTGTGGTGTAAACGCAAATATACGGTCCTTTAGAGAGTATAATTTACTTGTGCTCAATATACCGACATCTCGAGACTTACGCCCAGTTAACCCTAATTTGCGATTACGACCTAAATACGTGTATAAGTGGCTGAGTACTCGCGCCGGTTGTACTTCGATTGGCGCTACCTCTGCTATTGTTTGTACATGTAAATCATGTTCCGTCAATTTGTCACGTATTTCGTTATCCTCAGCTATGATTACCACTTGAACAACTACGTCAGGTTTTTTCTGAGCACCCAAACGTCGATTGAGAGGGTCTAGCTCACCAACTGCCAAAAAGCCCTGTGAAAAGAGATATACACTCGAGATTGCACACGCATGTTAAATTTGTGAAATACCTCCTGCAAAAGGCGGCCTAATATAAATAAAGATTGACCCCAAAGAAATGGACATCTGCCCACAACTTCACGTGGTTGAGAACCGGGATGTTGATACTCATTCGGTACTAAGTCAATTGGGACTGCGTAACTTTCTGGTATAAGCAAAGTTCCATCTTCTGATCGGACCATAATTTTCTAAATACATATACATTTACATATATTTTATAAATCTTAGAATTGTTAAATAAATTCGAAATTTTTACCTCAAGGCGATCAGCGTACTCTTTAACGGACAATTTGTCATTTTGAAAAGAATGGAATAGTATTAGATAACAAAAAAACAACGGCCACTCGCATTCAATGTTTTCAAACATGCGCAACTCCCACCGTTCGTAGTACAATCGGGTTGGGTCCTCTTTGGGCGTACGATAACCGTCCCGTAGGAAGCGTTTGCAGCCATACTTTCCTTGAAGTCGAGACAAAATTGCATCTTTTGTGTTACGGATCAGTTGGGGGTCATCAGCGGCAAAAGCCGGAAAACCTATTACGCATAGTAATCCTGAATCCAGTTCTTTGCTATTTGACTCGCGTGGCAGCATGGATTGCAAAACAGCTTGACATTTGTGCGCTTCATCTGCTAAAACATGTATAACACTTGCTGGGCCACCTCGAGCCCCAAATAAATCCAATTCGTTCATAGCTTCTAAAGCTGCTTTAGCCATGCCGATAGAACTTGCATTTAGTTCAGGTTCGCCTGAAGAGAGATATTCAATGACAAAAGTGTATATTTATGCTTAAGTTTATTTTTTTTACCGTGATTTGTTTTGTCGCCTCGCTCCCATATACCATAATCGGGAATGCAGTATGCAGACTCGATGTAAAATACCAAGTTTTGTATAAAAGATACTTCGTCCAGAGAAAATACAATTTGCAATCCAGATGCTGTCATTTGCGCCAAAATCAAAAGATACAGCGAAACTGCATCAATTTGTAAATGACCCCATTCGCCGTCTCCGACCACAGGCTGACCGTTTTTACTCGAGTATTTTGCGTGCAATGAGTCTAATGGATTTTGTGTCATCTTAAAGCGTTCCACCTTATCCTTTTGGTTCATCATTGCCATAAGCAAGCCTCGCATTAATTTTACACAACTTTGCTCTAGTTCGTAGCATTTGGCACGATCCTCGTCTTGATCAGCAATCTTCTTATAAGCCATTGACAGACCCCATACAGCCAGAATACAATAGACATTGTCACGAATCCAAGCATGGCTGTTATTTTTGGAAGCTGGGAATAATCCAGTTACAGGTTCCTGGTGTGCCATGATCAGACGGTGAACAATACGCTGATAATAATCCAGGCGGACGCCTGAATTGCTTCGGGATCGCATTTTTCAAAATATCAATTCTTTTATAAGTGCAAGTGAGATCAAACTATTTGAAGAGCAATATCTAGGGGTGCTTCGGATACTCTTGCAGCCCTCACTGCGATATCCTTATATAAGATTTGTTTTTCTGCGTGGTTTTTATCTTAAAAGAAGTTTGCACTTGTTTATTTTCTAATATGCAGACTATAAAAGTATTTTCACATTGGTTAAATTAAGAAAATTAATACTTACTTTTTTAACTAAACCAATAAAAATATTGCCAGATGATTGCTGCAGCGTTTTCGCTATGCCCAAAATGTCACTCCAATGTCAAAGTAATCACTAATCAGCTGATTGGTAAATGCACCCTTGGTGTGAGAGATTTGTGATGGTTTGTGAAAGCCAATGCCGAGAAATCGCTAGTATTTATAATGTACTTTAAATATTTAAAGTTTTCAAGAAACAACAACAATAATAATAAACTTTGTCTGGCAAATCATTCCTTCCTTTGATATTTATTGAAAAAATTGTGCGCCCTTTCACGCCCAATTAAGCAGGCTATACTGTACTTATGTTCCAAAGTGGATTCTGAGTGTTCATTCCAAGGCGAATTTATGCAAGGTGTTGATGGCGAATTTAGATTTTCGTCTCGGTACTTATGAATGTCAAAATGATGTGTTTGTTGTAAACAAGGCGAATTCATATTACAACAAACACATCATTTTGACATTAAAAAGTACCGTGGCAAAAATCTAAATTCGCCATCAACACCACTTTGTATAAATTCGCCCTGGTTAATTCAATCCAGAGAACAAGACGAATTTATACAAGGTGGCAAGGCGAATTTATACAAGGTGGTGTTAATGGCGAATTTAGATTTTCGCCGCGGTACTTCGTAATGTCAAAATGATGTGTTTGTTGTAATATGAATTCGCCTTATTCACAACAAACAAGTACCGCGGCGATTTTGACAAAATCAAGGCGAATTTATACCGCTGCGAAATCAGCGGATTCGATAACGCCACCCAAGGCGAATTTATACTTAAAATTCGCCTTGGTTTTTTATTGGATTAACTCCCTTCTGCTCCCGCAACATTTTAGCGCAAATTTCACTTGTTTGCAATTTAAAGCAATCGTCAACTGTTTAATAATAAAGAACTTTAAGAATTTTTGGATTCTAAAACATTATTTTGTGGATTGAGATAACTTTGAATTTAATAAGAATAAGCTAAGGCCAGGGAGTTTGATCAGAAGACGCAAGGTGCTAGCAGTTGTTTCCGAAAAGTATTTGCGAGTGAGTGCAAACGTTTGTATACAACGCATAATTTGGTTAAACAAAAAAAAAATAAACAAAACTACTCCATACAAGAAGCAGCAGCAGTCTCTCCAATTTGGGGGGTTCTTGTCTATAAAAAACACTAAGCAAACTTCCAGGCCACAGTTTGTTTTCTATATATGTTCGAAAAATGTCGACAAATTTGTTGGATTCTGGTGATTGTGGGGATGGTCGAGATGGAAGGCGAGGAAATTATAAGGACATCTATGAATTGTTAGAGGAATTATGCAAAACTTTGGCAAGTCCTTCTGATAATCACAGTAAGTTGATCTTTTTAATGCTACTTTATATGTATACTTACAATAAATAGTTACCTTATGCTCACATTTTCAATGGCAGGTCTAACAAAGAACTATCAATTTATGTGTAGATTTAGCTATGATCTGAAAAATTAAACACTTGAAAGAAAAATTAATGCATGAAATTGTCAACAAGTAACGATACTGGCAGTGTCGTTTGTTTCAGCTAAAGGGAGGCCCAGCAAGTGCGTAACTTCAACAGGATCAGTCCATATGGCATTCGAAGAGGTGCCGTGAGTCATGTGGCGACTCCCGCATGCCGGGTATTGGTTTGGCACATCCTCGTTTATTCTGCTCTGGTATGAGTTAAGCCTGCTGGAATAGCCAGAGCGAAGTTGAGCTATTGTGGTGAGGGTCTCCCGAAGCAGACAAAGTTCTGTCCCATCCACGTCAGGTGGTTGTGTGCCCAGTACGGCATTCACAGGTCGAGAGTCTATATAACTTGAGATCGACAGGCAGGGAGCTGTTGTGCTTCGCTGTTGATACTAATATTTTTTTTTTTCAAACCAATTAAAGGGGTTTTGAATTTGATATGCGCAATAAAATTAAATATTTTGTGCGAAGTGGCTGTATATGTATAACCAATCAAATTTATGTTTCTTCAATCATATGCAAAATCAATATTTTAAATTATTGAATAGAAATAAAATTATGTTAAATTGTTTACGTGCGTATTTTGAAGGTATGTGTGTACATAACTCATACATATTGCATATTTTCTTGGATTTTTGCAGGGGAAATTTTGCGACACGTTACACAGTACATATCCAATTGTCCGACAGCTTTGAGCTCAACATTGCCTTACGATGAAACTTCGTTACTGACGAAGATTGCAAATCACCTTGATGCCACAGCCGCAAGAGCGGCGACACCGACTGCGCCGTCCGCTGATGCAACAAAAACGGGTACTGGAAGTTCTGCTGAAGACTCGACAGGAATTGCAAGCAATAGCGCACTGTTTTTAAAGTTTCACGAACAACTGAAAGCATCAGTGAGTATAAACAATGTACCCTACAAGCAAAACGAGGAGTTTGCTTTGTATATTTTTAGATATTTTTTGGTGGTTTATGATAAATTATAAAAAACATAATTTTTTCTAATTTACAACTTTTTGCTTTTAAATCTAATTTGAAATTTAAGAGTACAATAGCAGATGTGACATTAGTTTTAAATATTTCACTTTTGTTATTCTTTTTCATAAGCTTCCGAATGAGCAAAAACGTACCGCTCTTCTGACATTCTTATATTTCATGGCGGACTCTAAGTATCCATCTGAGAATGGTTACAATGGCGGAGTCGGCAACAACCAGCGCAGTCATTTAATGCCCACAGCAAACTCTGCGCTTCAATCAATACGTTCTCATCTGATGCATAAATCTGTTGCTCAGGCGCAGTCGAACAATTCCACACTTCCGTCGGCCACCAGATCACAACATGTAAGCCAGTATTAGAAACTAACAGTTACAAATCTTGAACGTTTGTTTTTATTGCAGACAATGCTAACAGGGCGTGGTGCATTTAGCCGATTTACCCCTGAAAGCGATACGGCCGGTGGCAGTGTAGGGGGTAGCCATGGTACTCACTTTTCAACTCTGCGAGCGCACAGCAGTAAATCACTGGAACTCCAGCATAATCTCAACGATGACATAGTACAAAATATTATATACGCATTCACAGGAATACAAGGCAAATACCTTAAGAAGGACGTAATCTCAGGTCGTTTTAAATTGGATTCAAAAGCAAAAACTTTAAGCGTGGTGCAGGCTGGCATGTTGCTAAGGCTTTCTGAATTGGGGTATTTTTAGGGCTAATATAAATAGAATACAACTTAGTAACTTTCTTATTTAAGCTATTTTCACGACTTGGTTCAGTCATACACGGATACCAAGAGCGGTTTGTGTCCCCTGGGTTTTATGGGACAAGGATTTGTTTCTGCGTTGAAAAATGAGTTGACTAGGTACTATGGTATGGTTGCTACTCTTCAGGAACAGGTATTAAATTATATATAATTTGATTTCATAGCAATAGCATTGCGTTAATAATGGTTGCATTTCAGCTTAATAGACAAAGAGATTTTGAGCATAATACTATTTTAAAAGGCAATAGTATCGTGCCAATGCGTCATGAACAACTAACATTAATGAAAATTCTCGTATGGTCCGTTGATGCTCTTAAAAGGCTCAAGTGGCTAGCCACCATAGCAGCTGCGTGTCAGGAGAAAAAAGGTGGTGCACTCGCTTCAACGGTACACAGTTTTCTGAATAACGGCAACCCTACTGTAAAGTCCTTGGTCCGTGAACTTTTGCTTGCGATTTGTGGGCCTCTCTATCAAATGCTATCACATTGGCTGCTAGAAGGGGAAATCAATGATCCGCATGGCGAGTTCTTTATTGAATGTCTGGCCGAAGTTGGACCCGATCGCCTGTGGCATGATAAGTATCGGGTACGCACATCTATGTTACCCAATTTTGTCTCAACGGAAATGGCACATAAAATTCTGGTTACGGGGAAAAGTATAAATTTTTTGTGTGAAGTATGCGAAGACAATAGACCAGTTAAAGGACGCGATGAACTACGTCAGTGTATTGAAGAAAATGGTGAGTTATTAAACAATGAAGTACAAACAAAGTTTTACACAAACACATATTATTTTGAGAATTTATTCTATCCAATAAATCATTAATTCAAAGCGGTCACAAGAACCCATACGTTCAAAAAATATATATTAGTAAAAATCAAAACCACGTTTATTTTAGATTTTTGTTGGCTTTTTAATCGTAATTATTGTTTTACAGCTGATCATATATTTTCACATGTTGCTGATACAAAATTGCATTCAACAATTGATGCTATTTACTTGAATACTTCAAAACGTGTTCTAGACATTGTCATGGGACCGCACAAACTTCTTGAACACCTACAAGCAATGCGTCGCTATTTGCTGTTAGGACAAGGTGATTTCATCGGAATTCTCATGGAAAATTTAAAGTACGTCAGTTACACGAACAATTATCCAAGAACCACTATAAAATTCAAGTTTTTTTTTTGTTAATAGATGTGAACTGGATAAACCGGCAAAAGAGCTTTACTGTTACGACCTCTCATCGATAATGGATGCCGCAATACGTTCTACAAACGCACAATATGATGATCCTGAAATTCTGAACCATTTAGATGTGCGATTATTAACACCATGTGATGGTGATATCGGTTGGGATATACTATCATTACAGTATACCGTACGTGGTCCCTTGGCTACTATGCTTGAACCATGCATGGGCATTTATCAAATGCTATTTAAACCACTTTGGCGCATGAAGCACATGGAGTTTGTACTATCATCAAAAATTTGGAAAGATCAAAAGTGTAATGCCAAGGTAAGTTTAAAATAAACTCACAATATTCAAGTCTATCACTGAGTCCATCGTAGTCCAATGTTTCGCAAAATCTACGATAATGGTTTTACTAAACACGAATATTTATTATTAGAATAAATTTTTAATGATTTAGTGTTCGCATAATCGTAGATTTCACGAAAATCTTATTACGACGGATATAGTCATAGCCTCGGTTATAACATCCACTGGTTTGAAATATTTTTCAGTTTTATTTCTGTTTAGAGATGGCAACAATAAATCATTCCATTGCGATTTAATTGTGTCACAAAGTTATTTTTCATTAATCGAGTGATTAATTGACATTGTAATTAATTGATTGTGTTCTGATTAATCATATCAATCGTTTAAAATTTATTTTCTGCCATCCCTAATTGTGTGTAATTTTTTTCGACGAACTACTTGAAACTAAATCAAAATACCCTTGTGGCCACCTGATAAGGTCAAGTGACATTTTGACTAGGTTTGGCTATAATTTCCCAGAAATAGTCAGAAAAATTCCGAAGTAGTCAGATTTAGTCCAAAAAGCATTCCTTAACTGGAAAATGACAGCAAAAATGAGAGAGTGTTGGCAGTGAGAGTGACTCTCGTCAGTCTGAAGTAGTCAGAAGAATTTTTGCTGGCAAAATCTTGAAAAGTGTCAAACTCAACTGATTTTAAATAACGGAAATTAAAGAATTCACAAAAAGTGAGAATAATCTAAAAAGTAAAAAAAGTGAATTGAAAGTGGAAGGAGGCAAACAAAAATTGATATAGTAAGTGTTTATTGTGCTTGTGCTTGCGTGACTGTGTTTTGTACATACATTTCTTTTCTTATTTGACGTTAGTTTTGTTGTTGACATTCTTTGGACTAAAAATTTGGTTTTCTGCGGTCCTTAACTTTTTCCTGTTATTCTCTTGTAGTGAGCGCATTTTGCTTACGCTCTTGCATTTTGACATGTATTTATTTTGTTTACATTTTTTTTTTATAAAATTCTAGGACTACACTAACTTCGTACAGAAATTATAAAAATTCAACAAACTTTAACATTTGCACCCAAAAATTTTAAACTTTTTATTGAGCTCATTAAGTTTTAGTAGGCTAAAGTGCAAATTTCAAGACGCGTTGATTTTTTTTTTTGGCTGACAGTATTGTGCATTTTCTTCCATATAAAATATGCCCGACAATTTCGTTGGTATGTGAGAAAATGCCTAGCACCATCAGCAAAAATAATTGTTAAAAATCAACGCGATTTTCTGGAGCCTTGAAGTTTGCACTTTAATCTACTAAAATTTAATGAGCTACAAAACTGCATACCCAAAATTCTAAATAAAAAGTTTGAAATTTTTGGGCGCAAATGTTTTAAGTTTGTTGACTTTCCATAATTTTTGTACAAAATTTGAAATGTGGATTTATGTAACGCTGGTTAGGTAAAGTGCTAGACTTTTATAAAAAAAAAAAAAATAAATAAACAAAAGAAAAATAGCCAAAACGAGTCAAAATCTCACTTGACTTAATCAGCAGACAATAAGTGTATGTACAATGCCGGACAAAAGTATCTGCACAGAGAGTTTTTCGCAATGAACGCAAAGTTTTATATTGTAATTTCTTTCCGAAAATATTTTAAAAAGATATTACAAGAAAAAGCATAAGCAATAAAATTTAAACTTTGTGCAGGAAAATTCAACAAATTTGCATACTTATTTGCATACTGCGTGAATAAATTGCCAAAAAAAACGCGGGTTTTTAAAATTGAATGGGCTATAAAACTGCATACTTAGAATTTTTCTAAAAAATCTGATTAGAAAGTTGGAAATTAGTTTGCTAATTTATTGATAATTTCTTGAGTTTCACACAAAGTTTAGAGATTTTATTTGTATGCTTTTTGTTGTACTATGAACTGTATTTTTATATAAAATTAGCGAAAATAAATTATAGTAAAAAACTTTGCATACATTGCGATAAATTCTCAGTGCCAATACCTTTGTCCGGCACTGTATGTAGCCTTAATGTGCATACACATGAGCCTTCGCATAAAGAAACGATTTGAAAATCTCAATATTTTCGAAGAAATATTTTCTATTCATAAGTGACTAAACGGGAGGCATTTGGCGAAACCCTAAGAATTGTTTTGAAAGGTGAATTACCCCGAGTGACTAGCGCTCATTGACGGTAATTGAGGTCAACCTACGTAATTAAGAAAATTAAATCAATTAATGAGCCCCACCCTATGCGACACCAATCATTTAAATATAGTACCTAGAAGTAAATTAAAATACCATTAATTATTCATGAGATTATAATTACCTTAAAAACAGCGTTTTCGCGTTATTCTTTGAAGCAACAAAACTGACCCGGTAATCTTATCCCAAACAAACTTTAAGCTTATAAAGCACTTTTGATAAGACATTCGAAAAAATGATAAGACAAATTGATTGAAATCTGAGCTAGTATTCAGAATTGGCATTTTATTTATTTATTATTTTTTTAAATACAACTATTATGCTCATAAAACAATGTTAATATGTCCTTTTCATTTGAATTTAATTAATCGTTTACCCTGCCTCCCATATATTTAAACATGAATTACAATACCAATTTATGTATGTATGTATATGTACTTTTTATAATCCCGACACGGAATGAATATTTTTATTATTACATGCTAAATCTTTACAACTTAGCATCTGTCTTGAGAAGAGGAGCCAGCTTTTGGGATAACATAATGTTTCCCGAAATCTTGAGTTTGCCCTTCATGAAGGCGGCCTGTGGATTTAGTTTCCCGAGAGCAATGTCCACCATATCTTCATCCGCCACAGTCAGCGTAGTATCGACTTTAATATCCTTGGCAGGTCCTTCGTATGCTTTAGCATTCTTGCAGTCCAAAGCTACACAGAAAAATTTGTTAAAATGTATTATCTGCTCAAAAGAAATACATATAAACACATGGTTTCATTAATTGCGACAAATTTCTTTTTGGACATTGAACTCCACATTCCGATTATATTAAAACTTGGTATGAAACTTTTATAGTTGTCTTTATATACAGCATATATACATATATACCCTACAAGACATTGCTGAGCACTTTAGGCAAAAATTCTCACACATTTACACTTTTGTTTTTGTAGTACGGCATAAATGAGTAGTTTACTATTAGTACTGAGGACTTTCTGATGACAACATTGAGGGGAAAGTACTCAATTTTTTCCCATGGCCTGAACGAAAATGAGGACTTTGATAAGCACTTTTGTGATTAGGGATAATGATAATATGAGTACTCATATGATACTCAGCTGTCTTGTAGGGAACATATGTACCTATGTATATACATCGTACATACATATGTAGATGCTTTAAATTGAAAGGCAAGTCACACCTTATAATATTTAACTATCCTAATATACTACTCACTCCATTCCTTTACCACTTTGCCATCTTTGGTGATTTTATAGAGGAAGACACCATTGATAGCCTTTGCCTTGGCTTCGTTTTCCTTCACGCCATCAATAATTTTTTGAAATACGGCATCAGAAGCAAGCGACATCTTTAATAATTAACAAATTCGACAAAAGCTAAAATGTACGAAGTCTTATTGCGCCAGATACAAAGTCCATACAACGCCGACAGGTGAAAAGGTAAACGTCAAGTAAAGAGAAACGTTGCTGCCTAGGCGAATTTATACAAGCGGTGTTACTGGCGAATTTAGATTACAACAACGACAACCATATGCATGATTCAATAATACAAGGTTAGATAATTATTGACAGCTGCGGTTTGACACTCCCTTACAAAAGGTTGCATTTACGAAGGACGGAGAAAGGGGAAGAATGCCATCTCTTGGTGCGAAAATGGTAGTAGAAAAGTACGCAAAGTAGGAAATTATTAGTGAAATTTCTTTTTGTAAATTCTAATGTATTTGCAGGAAATCTGGCATTTTAAACGAAATGTTGACCGTAATATTGATATATCTACGTGAATTACGTAATTTATGTGCTATTTAGCAGTATAAAAACTTCAAAATGACTCAAACTTAAAATAAGACTACTATGAGATTGATGTAAACATCTAATTTAAAAACAGTTTATGTTTTCATCAGTTAAATATGCTTCATATGCACATACAAGTAAACATATTTCACGAAAGCTTATACTTCTATTTCACACCAAAGCTACACTGTTTCTATGTAAATTTACAAAGAAGCAACACGGTGCCACTGCTAAGGGAGCGGTGCGAGAGAGACAACTGTCAGTTTATCGAACCTTGTATTATTGAATCATGACCATATGTATTTTGTATGGAGGGTGTTATGTCAAATCTCAATTCGCTCCAAAGTTTACATGTATTTTGTTTTTGCTTTTGATGGGTGTGCTGTCAAATCAGTAAAAGCAAAAACAAAATACATGTAAGGCGAAGAAATCAGCTGATTTTACAACTTGTATAAATTCGCCTTGCGGTACTTCCTAATGTCAAAATGATGTGTTTGTTGTAAACAAGGCGAATTCATATCATGATTCAATAATAGGTTCATTCCTTATCTTTTTGGACTAAAATCTGAAAAGTGTCAAAATGCCAGAGCGTAAGCAAAATGCGCTCACTAAAAGAGAATAACAGGAAAAGTAAAGGAACGCAAAAAACCAAATTTTTAGTCCAAAGAATGGCAACAACAAGTCTAACGTCAAATAAGAATGGAAATGTATGTACAAAACACATTCACACAAGCACAAGCACAATAAACACTTACTATATCAATTATTTTTTGCCTCCTTACAATTTCAATTCACTTTTTTTACTTTTTAGATTATTCTCACTTTTTGCGTATTCTTTAATTTCCGTTAATTTAAATTTAGTTGAGTTTGACTTTTCAGGATTTTGCCAGAAAAAATTCTTCTGACTAAAACATGATTCAACAACTACAGGTTGTAGCAATCGTACAAAAACAACATTTACCGTTGGTATGAACTCCTTGTGTCATCAACATCTTCTTTATCTATTCATATTCGTGTGTATATGTATACCCTGCATACCAGGATTTCATAGAATTCTGAAAGGTTTCACAATTTTTTTAAGAATTTTCTTTAAGAAATCATACAGATATTTCTTTACTAGTTCTTGTCAACCGCTTCATATGTTTTTCTTTACAGATTTCTAAAAGAATCGTACAAATTTCCGACACTCTTAAAGATTTCGGGAGCATTTGTTTGCAGGGTATATATATACGTATATGTGTATGTGTACGCGAATATGTAAATAAAGCAAAACAGACGATAATTTGACACAAGCGTGCTCATAAGAAGAAGCATAGCTTCCATCGCTATCACCTGTAATTGATGCGCCTTGTGACTAAATCCGACTACTTCGGACTGATGAGAGTCACTCTCAGTGGGTGTTGCTCTCTCATTTTAGGTGTCATTTCCGAGTTAAGGAACGCTTTTTGGACTAAATCTGACTACTTCGGACTTTTTCTGACTATTTCTGGGAGATAAGGAACGCTCCTTTTGTTGAATACATTTTGAGCACACCCATCAAAAGCAAAAACAAAATCTATGCAAATCATGGTAAAAACATAACAAGGTAAAACCATTAAGAGGCAGTTTGGGGTATGCCAACAATATAATTTAAAATTTCAAAACTCAAACTCACACACACATTCCCAATTTCAATCTCAAACAACAACAATTGCGAACAATTTAATTTTTTTATTCCCAATTTTATATGATTTTAAAATGCTGGCAAATGTCAGAAAAAATCATGGCCGACGAATTGAGAGAATGAATTTACCTTGTAATGTTTTTATCAAACCATAGTACAATAATTACAGGTATTGTCTTCCCAGAGAGTTTTGCTTCACATCGAAATTCGTGCTCCCTTATTTTCATTTTGACGCAGTTCAATATTGATTCTTTTACTTTTTCCTTTTTGGTTGTTGTTGATCCGACATGGTGGGTGTACGATGTATTTTGGTACGAATTTCCGTCATCCCTTGTCAAATTTGGTTTGGAGACAAACACCGAAACCGGAACGAATTCCGTCATCCCTTGTCAAATTTGGTTTGGAGACAAACCGGTTTCGTTCCAAAATACATCTTTTACTTTTATTTGGCTTTGCCTTTTGTTTTCACTCAATTTAATATGTATTTATAATTTTTCAAAACAAAAGAAACAAACGTTTGAAATACATACAAATTTTGAATTTATTTACAAGCAAATGTTTTTTTTTACCGGCTTTTGCAAATTAAATAAGTTCTCTTTGTTTAAAAAAAATACGTGTACATATATGGTATATGGGGTATGGAAATATCCTTTTTCCCTGGCAGTAAACGTTTTAGTGTGGGCAACAATGATATTTTTAAAATAATTCAGATCGGAATATGCGCTCTCTGGGAAGACAATACCTGGGTACAAATCATGGTACAAAAATTACAGGTATTGTCTTCCCAGAGAGCGCATATTCCGATCTGGCTTATTTTAAAAATATCACTGTTGCCCACACTAAAACGTTTACTGCCAGAGATAAGGGATATTTCCATACCCTATATACCATATATGTACACTAGGGCGGGTCGATTTGTAGAGGCCCAAAAAAATTAACAAAGGCGCATCGCGATTATGATTATTTGGGTAATTTCAAGCATTTTTGCCCAAGAAACCATAGGTCTAAAATGAATTTTTAGCCAGCGATTTTTTCTATCTAGTTTTTTTTTGAAAAAGTGGCTCACCTGTTGAAACAACTGTATTGAAAAATAGCCAAAATGTGTATCTGGGGGTTTTTTGAGGGCCGCCAGAGGGCGCTTCCACACTTTTTTTTTGGATTTTAATGCCTTTTTTCCGAAAATCGACGAAACTTAGCTCTCTCATAGTCCAACTTCAATTTTTAAATTTTGATAACTTTTGATTTTGAAATTTTAGCAAAAGTTATTATAAACCGTTTATGAGATTGCGTGGGGCGCATGTAATTGATATGAAGGGTAATATATGTAAGTATGTGGATATATGAATAACAACCGCTTAAAATCGATCTCAAATTTGTACTTTGAATTAAATATGTACTCGTAGAAATTTTAGGTCTATGTTATGTAGTTTGACTATTGTCGATTAAATCTAATGCTTTGTATTGCATGCGCCCACGTTTTTCATTTTCAATCTCATACATGGTTTATAATAACTTTTTATTATTTTCTACTTTTTAGTTCATTTATAAGAGCATTGTATATTAAAAAGTTTTTTTTTTATATTATTTATTTTCTACTTTTTAGTCTTGTCTGTATAAAATTTTGCTATAGATATCAAAATAATTCAACGATATTAATAGATTGGTGCACACACATGTATATATACGTGTCGCCCTATGCACTAGACTTTTTTATAGGATCTATGCAAAGCAAAGGTTTTATAGCAATGAATGGTGTCTGGACACACAACATTGCAAGTTGATAAAAGCGTTGTAGAAATACGTACGTATTTAAAAATTTAAGCATTAGAAATTGTTATTTTTTTTTTCATTTACATTTCATATGTTCATATGTTTCATATCGAAAACACTACGAAAAAACGTTTGAAAACGCTTTTTCGGAACCCGTTCTCAATAGTTTTGTAAGCGAAAGTGTTGCTAAAATATCTAAAACGGATGCATTCTCGTGTACGTTGGTCGGGTGGGAGGTACTCGATTTTCGCTACAAATATTCATAACCCTTTCTGTGTTGTTGGAGAAGAGGGGCGGGGATTATAACCCCTACTACGCAGAATTCTCCTTTCTGTGTTGCCGGAGAAGAGAAACTTAAAAAAACTTGAATATTAATTATCTCAAAAACTAGAAGGCTCCCGCACCCAGTTGTAAAGTGGAGGACTCCAGTTTTCCAATGGTACCACTTTTGTTCCCCGAAACGAGGGTCTCCATTTTCAATGTGAATATAATATATACATTTGCACACATATATTTCTACTACATAAGATAAAATATATATATTTTTTCCTTACAGCCGCTTCGTTCTATGGCGAGCGAATTAAATCAGGTGCTCTACCGCTTGCATCTACTCACATCCGAAATGATACATTTCATACATCAAATGCAGTATTACATACTCTTCGAAGTGATTGAATGCTCCTGGGCCGAATTGCAGGATCGTGTGCAACAGGCTAAAGCATTAGACGATATACTCAACGCTCATGATGATTTTCTTAATGCCATTAAGTGTGGGGCATTTCTCGACTCCGATTCTGGGCAGCTATGCCAAAATATGGAAAATGTATACGATGGTATAATACGATTAGAATTGTGGCAGGACAAATTCTATGAAATTTGCTTTAAGGAGCTATCAGCTCGCAAAGAATATGAGAATCATATTCTAATATCCGAAAAGCTGGGCAAATTTGGGGTGACTGCAGAGCGCCAGTTGGAGCGGGATCAGGAGCTCAAGATATTCGAACAGTTCATTGGAAGCTACCACAAATCACTGGATAACATTTGTGCTGATTACGAAAAGGCCGTACGCTGTTTCTTGTTGACGCTGAACTCTCACAACGACCATAATTTACAGCTATTCGGGATTCGTTTAGACTTCAATGAATATTACAAAAAGCGAGATCAGCGTCTGTGTGTGCCACTGACATTCGAGCACATGCGAATGAGTATTATGTTCAACGGGAATAAGAGTTTGGCGAGTAGTCGATACTCGGCAGTGAATTGACATCCACCAATATCAAAGCGGTGCAAGGCCGTGCACATAAAGCAACAGGATTTAAGATCTGGAAACATTAAATTCCAACCTTATTTTACCCAGCCCACATCTGGTGACCTGATATGGCCTAAGACACTCGTGAATTTCCAGCATGCCAAAAAAATACGACAAGATGATCGGCAAAATCGTCATGACGAACAAAGAAGGGATGATGGTAATGACAACGACATTGGTGCCAATAAAACTATACCACGTTTCTATGCGCGTACTTCATTTGCAACTTTAAAACGTCCTATAATTTTAACTGAAAAGAGCGATTGCATATATGTGGCTTGTTGCGAGATCTTGTAAACATTTTTTCTGGTCTTAAAGATAATCCAGTATTTACAATGTGTATGTATGTATATGAAAAGTATGCGGAGAAATAAGAAAAATGCAATATTTTGTCTTAGCACGTGGCGGAGTGAATATAAAAAAGTCGAATGCAATAAATCTAAGGTCTTTCAGCAGATACATGAAAATATTTTAAAGTTTTGTTCTGTACTTGTAAAATCAATGAAGCTCATTTTAATTGTAAATTGTTGATTTGTAAAAAAAAATAACTTGCTGGAACATTGAAGTTTTAAGCCCTAAATATATTCTATATTTATAAGTTGAATTTTTATCCTGTGAAGAACTAATCGTCAACCATACACACATACATACATATGTATGTATGCATCTTGTAACTAGAATAATCCAACAGGAAGGAAACCGGCAAGGAAAAAATTCACTTCCGAGTGAATTTCAACCCCCTTCAATTGTAATACAAACTTTGACTTTGGTTGAAATCAGTGATGGAAAAGTAGGCACAATAGTGTCATTTTTGGCTCTTTCATTCACAGAAGCACTTTCGGCACAATCCCTTCGGTTTTGGCACAATAATAAATTATAGAAATTTAGCATAATACGCCAGTATATAACAAATAATCATATATTTTTATTCGAAACATGAAAATTTAAATCACTTAAAAACTAAAATAAGGGCCTTTATATAAAATTAATAAAAATTATCCAATGTAAAGAAGAATAGTCAAAACTGGGCAATTATTTCGCACATAGGTATGTTTACATGTAAAGAGGTCCGAATAGCTATATTTCAGTGTTTTTCCCCTTCGCAATTGGAATATTGTATTATTTTACTATGATTTTACTCTAATAAATTAATGAATTAATAAAGTATTATATTATTAATAAAGTATTACATTAAAAATACTTTTTCTGAAAATACATATCGATGGCTGAGTGGAAGGTCGACCTATCTCGGCAGCCAGTTCGAAAACGCCCTATCTCAGCAAAACTTTTCAGGAACGCTCTACTTAAGAATTTGATTGTAGAACGCCCTATTTGATTGTGTAACACGCTATCTCAGAATTTGGTTCAAAAACGCGCTATCTCAGCTGCCGATTCAAAAATGCCCTATCTCGGCCCATTTTCAATGTATTTTCATTTTAGGTAGGACGTTTTTGAGCCGAATTCTGAGATAGGGCATTCTTCAAACAAATTCCGAGATAGGGTGTTTTCAATAAAATTCTGAAATAGGGCGTTCTTGAAAAGTTTTCTGAGATAGGGCGTTTTCGAACTGGCTGCCGACATAGGTCGACCTTCCACTCAGCCATCGATATGTGGTTCTTAAAAAGCCTCAAAAGAAAGCAATTTTAATTTTTTGGAACTTTCATCTCCTTTTTGGCACTATTTTTTGCAGTCCATTAGGCACATTTTGAAATTTTGGGATTCCATCCCTGGTTGAGATTCACTCGGAAGTAGAGCTGCAAAACTATCGATGGTTGGACCATTCGATAGTTTTGCGCCTCACCATCCGATATTATCGATACTATCGATAAGAGATGCATAATCATATAGGTTTGTTCATCAAAAGTGATAAACTTGATAAAATGATGAATTTATCATTTTGGTAAATGAAGTGTCAAACTTTGTATGGAAATCTATTTAACCAAAGTTTATCACTTTATCAAACGATGTTGGTGGATAAATGTATATTTTAAGCAAAATTTAACTTTGACAGGTTACCAGGTGATCGCTTTTGCTACGAACACACAAAAAGTAAAGTAAATGAATATAATGGACGAGGTAAGAATAAAAACGTACTAGCCATATAAGTTAAATAATAACAATTTTATGCAATTATTTACCAAGGTGCGTTTATGAGAAAATGCGGATAAACTGACAAATTTAAGCAATTTATCCCTTTATCACTTTAGATGAAGACCCCTTGTGAGATCCTAAAGAGCGAAATACACCACACAAGCGGTTTGACAAACCGCTTGTGTGGTGTATTTCGCTCTTTAACAATAGCACTAATTATATTGAATATGGTAATCGAGCTTGTTAAAAATGGTTCATAATTTGAAATTCAAAGGCCAAAAACAAAAACAAAATATATGGTAATATTAGTAGATAATATATGAATGCTACAAAATTAGTTATTTTAAACAACAAAAACAATGCATTTCAATTCTTTTAATTTAATTATAAAGTCAGTTGTGAGAAATCAAGGCTTCGCTTCTGTCACCCGAAAGTGTAAAAAAGCATAAATACGACGGCAAATATAAATAGGGACGGAACATTTTATTTTTTATTATTATTTTTTTATGTGTACGAATTTCACAAATTTTTTTACAAAAATTAGGAAAATTCGATCAAGTTTCATCAAAATATCGATTTTTTTTTTAATTAGATTTCTTTGAAAAATTTCGAGTATGCACATTTGTATTTCAGTAAATTTTAGTAATAAGTGCAAGTTTTAAGTACGGATGTTACGATTCGAGCCCTGTGGTAATTCTGTATACGAGCAGTGCGTTCACGACTGTTTACAGAGGACGTTATCAGAAAGCAAGCAAATGTAAAAAAAAACCCGCTCCTTTGCCCGTTTACCGCTTCTTTCTCCACACTTGTCGTTCTGACTTCCATTTTTATTTTAGTTTTTGTTTCGATCCGACAAAAGCACGCGCCTGCCTCCGCAAGCCCCTCCCCTCTGCCTAGTGCTTATTCGATTTCTTATTAGATTGCGTCTCACGAGTGGTAGAATTGAAAATCTTTGGTGTGGCGGCAACGAGCATTCTGGCTCGGTGTGGTAAATTCCGGCTCGCACAACTCAAAATGTTTGATGCCAAAAAGCTCATACTGGAAATGCGCCTTCTCATTTATATACGTTCTCTGCTTCTGCCGTAATAAATAGTGATAAAAACAAGATTACTTACATAGAAAATAAATGGTACTTACCCATGAACCAAATTGGTGGTACATATCACGATTTTCCAATTGGTTCGTAAGATATACGTGATTAAGTGGAAGTACTCTTTTTTTAAGCTGAATAACGGTAATTCGCAAATAACTCAACAACGTATCTATAAAAAAAAATCAACTCGATTTTCCGAATCAGCGAGCGATTCTACATACAAATTGGATAGTGGCGTCTGGAGAACAAAAACAAAATTAAAATTTGTGATCCAGATGATTGTTAACGATGAAAAAAGAAAAAGAAATTAAATTGGAAGCAAAAATATGTGTGTTCTTTGGCAACGAAACTTTATACGTATGTTGGCATAGTAGAAGAGCATTTGCTTAGTGAACATGGGTTCCGCGGTTCGAATCTCATCGGGCGAGACAAACCTTTTTTTATTTTTTAAACAAACCTTTTATTTTTTAATATGCAAGTATTTTTTTTTTAAGAATGATATAAACATACATACTTGTTTTGGAGACATTTAGGGGCACTGCACACATTTGCTGCAAGAGTGTCATAACCCAAACAGAATTTTTTTAGTTAAGTAGGATGTAGAAATTACCGCCTCCTCTTCTGTGTTGTATCGATTCACAGCTCATAAGAAGAAAATTTGTGTGTGTTTACTATGAGAGCGTATGCAAAGCCGTTTTTCTCGAGTTTTTTATTTTTTGGATTATGACACTCTTGCAGCAATTAGGTGCTATGTATGAGAATATATGGATTTTTATATTATATATTATATATATTTTATATTTTTAGATCAACATTAACAATCGTACAGACGAGTAAGACGTGAGCTTATCGTTTTTTTTGGTATGTATGTACATATTTTGCAAAACTATCCAAAAATGATACATTTCATTCATTATTTTAACTTTTTTTTCTGTTTTCCTACGCCAGCACAAGTTATCCGTTAGCTCAAACGCTTTCGAATCACTTTTTCGATTTGCGAGTAACTTTGGCAATCAAATTCGGATTGCGTAGAGGCATATATCTGTAAATCGAATATGGAAATCCGAAAATGAAATATTTTTATTCCATTTCGGAATAGGTAGTATGGGAAATCCGTTTTCGGCCGAAAATTCTTTGGAATCGAATTGCATAGTAACCGACCGACCAGATGTCAAGTTTCAGCGAAATCGTTCATCGGAAACTATTCTATTCTCCATATACAATGCATCAATCAATGCATCAATGATACAATCTTATCAATATGCATGCTTTTGACATAAAAGAGCCCTAATTTTTGCTCACAAGACAGATTAACCTGCTCATCGCCTAAATAATTATCTACATTAAATAATTTAAAAGCAGTTGGTGAATTGCTTTCATTGATTATATGTACTACATATGTATGTATTATTTTATTTGTTCGGTCGTTATACATTTACTTTACAAACTTACTATGTATCTATATTACAATAGAATATTTTATAAGAATTGATGTCTTAACTAGCGGGTAAGTTATACGAATCTATAGTTTTCCCTTTAGTTTATTAGTGGGACATTGTGTATGTATATACGATTGTAGATGCATTTATAATATATTTTACGTCTATTATTTCTGCGATCATCTATCAGTTTACACTTTATATATATATAAAAGTAAACAGTTTGTCTCTTTAAAGTTTTTAAAGCTAGAAGCTCTGTGTTCATGTTGTTTTCTTTTATTTGGAAGTATGTTTCATATGTAAAGATACGAATTATTTTATTAGGAAAGAAC